TCAGTCGAAGACTCACACAGCCCGGTCAATGCTGCACCCATTTGTTCTATTTTCATTTCATTTATGAGCACCTGTTTCCTCAATACAACATTCACATTCAAACATTTACTTGTACAAAGTTACCTTCCTCAAGTGCTTTCCAGTGACATTAAGTTTAGACTTACTACAAAATTATGTCCTTCATTTGTTTATAATTTAAATGACAAATTTGTGTGAAGAAAAAAAAAAAAAAAAAAAAGTTGTCATTTTTCAAGAACTTGTCGGAAAAAAAAATCTTCCATGGACTCAATATGCCTCTCAGCAGATAGCTTAGGGTGTCTACTTTCCGAAAAGGGGTCATTTGGGAGTATTTGTACTATCTGCTGTTTTAGCACCTCAAGAAATGTGATAGGCAGTCAGAAAGTAAAAGCTGTGTAAATTCCATTTATCTATACCATAGTTTGCTATAACTTTCATACAAAGCAATCAATATACACTTATTGGGATTTTTTAACCAACATGTAGCAGAATACATTTTGGCCTAAATTTATGCCGCAATTTGAGTTTTTTGGATATGATTTTTTTTATGACCGAAATGAGAAGTTTTTTTTTTTTTAATATATTAAAGGAACACTTTTTTAACCTCTTGCCGTCCGCCTGCTGTTTATAAACGGCAGGACGGTGGCACTCCAGGGGCGGGTTGCCGTTCATAAACGGCACCCGCCTTTCCTAGCTGTGCGCGCACCACTGCGATCCGGTGCCCGCTGTGTGAAACACCGATCGTCGGACGGGACCTCTGTACGAGGTCCCGATCATGTGATCACTGATTGGCGAATCAGTGATCACATGCAAAGTAGTAAGCAAGATGTCACTTGTGACATCATTGCTTAGTACGTTGTGAAATCTGTGAATGATCACAGAGGTCACCCATGGTACAAGGCTATTCACAACAGCCTTGCACCATGTGACAAGCTGTGACTAATCACAGCTCACTCAGTATTTCTCAATGACTGCAAGAATGCAGACAGAGAGAAAGAGAAATGATTGCTTTTACATCCTTTATGGATGTAAAAGCAATCAGTGTTAAAAAAAAAAAAAAAAAAAAAAAAATCTTCATCACCCCCCACAAGTAGTACAGTGTCAAAAAAAAATACTATAAAAAAAATATAAAAATGTTTAAAAAATTATAATTTTTGGTTATAAACTAATTTGGATTTTTTTTTTTTTACTAAAAAAATAACGGAATAAATTTTGGCCAAGATTTATGATGAAATATTATTTATTTTTGCAAAATTTTTATTAAAAAAAAAACACTTTTTTTCAAAATTTTTGGACATGTCATTTACATAGTAAAAAAAATAATCCCAGTGGTGAATAAATATGACCAAAATAAAGCTTTCGCAATTGTCATTCAAAATGTGATAGCGCTGAAAGCTGAAAATTGCCCTGGACAGGAGGGGGGTAAAAGTGTCCCGACAGGAAGTGGTTAATAAGAGTATTGCATCAAGTCAATTAAACTCCTGGGATATTGATCTGGTCAGTTAAGTAGTAGTGGGGGGTTGTCAATCAGTTTCAGCTGCTTTTAGTGGTAATGAAATTAACAGGTGCACTAGATGGACAACAATGAGACAATCCCCAAAACAGGAATGGTTTTACAGGTGGAGGCAACTGACATTTTTTCTCTACTCATCTTTTCTGACTGATTTTAACTAGTTTTGCATTTGGCTAGGGTCAGTGTCACTACTGGTAGTATGAGGTGATACCTGGACCCTACAGAGGTTGCACAGGCAGTCCAACTCCTCCCAGGATGGCACATCAATACGTGCCATTGCCAGAAAGTTTGCTGTGTGTCCCAGCACAGTCTCAAGAGCATGGAGGATATTCTAGGAGACAGGCAGTTACTCTAGGAGAGCTGCACAGGGTCGTAGAAGGTCCTTAACCCATCAGCATGACCGATGTCTGTTCCTTTGTGCAAGGAGGAACAGGAAGAGCACTGCCAGGCCCCTACAAAATGTCCTCCAGCAGCCACTGGTGCGAATGTCTCTGACAAAACAATCAGAAACAGACCATGTGGGTTGCCTGAGGGCCCGATGTCCTCTAGTGGGCCCTGTGCTCATTGCGCAGCACCATAGAGCTCGATTGGCATTTGTCATTGAGCAGCAGAATTGGCAGGTCTGCCACTGACACCCTGTGCTTTTCACAGATGAGAGCAGGTTCTGGAGAAGCCGTGGAGAACATTATGCTGCCTGTAACATCATTCAGCTTGACTGTATTGGTGGTGGGTCAGTGATGGTCTGGGGAGGCATATACATGGAGGGACGCAAAGACCTCTACAGGCTAGAAAATGGCACCCTGACTGCCATTAGGTATCGGGATGAAATCCTTGGACCCATTGTCAGACCCTACGCTGGTGCAGTGGGTCCTGGATTCCTTCTCGTGCGCTACAATGCCCGGCCTCATGTGGCGAGATTATGCAGGCAGTTCCAGGAGGATGAAGGAGTTGATACCATTGAATGGCCCCCACGCTCGCCTGACCTAAATCCAATAGAACACCTCTGGAATATCATGTTTCGGTCAAATTGATGCCGCCAGGTTGCTCCTCAGACTGTCCAGGAGCTAAGTGATGCCCTGGTCCAGATCTGGGAGGAAATACCCCAGGATATCATCTGTCGTCTCATTAGGAGCATGCCCCGACATTGTCAGGCATGCATACAAGCACGTGGGGGGCCATACAAACTACTGAGTACCATTTTGAGTTGCTGCAATGAAATTTCAGCAAAATGGACTAGCCTGCTGCATCATTTTTGGATTGTCTTTGAATTCAGTCCTCCTATAGGCTGATCATTAATTTCCATCAAACAGTGGGGCATCCTTATGTTCCTAACACATTACCCAGTCCATATCAATATAGATATCCAGCATGATATTTTTCCCCATTGAGATCTAATGTGTTTTCAAAGTGTTCCTTTAATTTTTATTTTGAGCATTGTAGTCAAATTTGTTTTGCTGTCTGTATCCTCTTTGGGGACATTCACTCCTTTATTTGCTCTGGTTTACATTGTAACTAAAACAGAAAATGATGGGAAATCCAAAACTTTAGCATTGCCATCATAACAAGAGATGAGTGTACGTTTTCCAAGTGGGGGCATCTGGGGTAGCTTGATAGACAGAGTAAGCTTTTTGTTCTTGGAAACTACAATAGTGATAACTCTGCTGGTATTTTTGACTCTAGCACCTCCTCTTGTTTTCTCCCTGCTACAAAATTAATAAAAATACAGAATTAATAGTGGGGACCCCTCATAATGTTCACAGCAACTCTAAAAACATATGAGTTCAGCTCCCCCCTCATCCCCCATAATACTTATCTGAGCCTGATCTCAATCCAGATCTGTGCACAGGAGCCTCAACTCTCCTAGATCTCCATCCCTCAGCCTCAACTCTCCTAGATCTCCATCCCTCATTGGCTGAGACACATGGCTCCTGCTGCCATCATTTATGAGCAATGGGGCAGGGCCAAACAGTACTTTGTGTGTCATATGGACAAACGCATGGGCGGCTCGGGAGAGAGTACGCACAAATGCCCCCAGAGCAAACAGCTTTCTATGGGAGCACTCAGCAGGGGGAAGGAGCCATAGGGCTGGCTGGGGTCCTGAGAATAGGAAGATCGAGACTGCTTTGTGCAAAACCATTGCACAGAGCAGGTAAGTATAACATGTTAAAAAAAAAAAAAATATCAGATCCTTTTTAGTTTGGTGATATCCCACCAACAAGACCTTGACGAATAAAGGAAATGGTCAACTGATTTAACTTTATAGCATCTCCCACAAACTGAAACTCTTTTGCTTTAGGCTAGGTTCACACTGTTTGGGGGTTTGCGTGGGAACGCTAGCCCGTTCATTTGATTGGGCTGCCGTGGCTGTGTTTACATGCAAGAAAAAGGTTCCTGCAGCATCTTGCAAATGCAGTGGCCGCATTGCGGATTTAGATGCATGGGGATGTCATTAAGAGTGAATGTCTTTTGAGTCTCTAAAGAGCAGCGTTTGGCTTCGGATGCGGAACACCTGCACCTGAAACCACCCACAATGATGTGAACCTGGCCTTTGGGAGAAACCAACCATTGTTCTGGATGAGAAATCGACCGCTCACCTGGTATATGCTGCAGAGCTGCCCTCCACCCTAACTTCCTATCTTTTTCTGCTGGTTGACACCCAGCGTCGTTCAACCAACTTCCTGTCAGCCTGAATGCTCAGAGAGCAACATACAATATTATATCATTACTTAGAGTGGTATTATTTATTTTTTTGTTAATGGGCCTCCAGAAGTTTTATGCCATAATGTGCTAGTATGTACATATTGGCACATTATGGCAGACTTACCTGTCACACCAGCTCTCTAGTGCTGTTCTGTCACTGCTTCATCTGGTCCCTGGCCCTTTCATCTTTGCCTGATCTTGTTTCTGGGTTTTCTTACTCCAGCCTCCTAAATGGTCTGGCCACAATGATATCACTTTCACACGGATGTATTTTCATCACGGCACAGAGCAGGTGTCGTAAATGTGGTCTGAGCTGTACATACTGCTGAGTGACAGCAGGGAGAGGCATTTGTAACAGAAGAGACCACTAAAGTCTCATCTGTTAAAAAAAACAAATATCCTGCCTGTTGGCAGTTTTTTTTTACATTTTTGACTTCAATACAGGTTAAAAGGCTTCTCTCTGCAGCATCACATGACTGCCCAGAATATACCTAGATTTTAGATATCTAGTACACGACTAAAAATCTTTAAATTGCTGTGTGAGGGAGAAATAGTTGTGCTGCAAATTTTTCAGGTAGCTTTTCATCATTCCAGGTGCAGGTATCATGAACACATACCAGTCCCTTGCCAATGGAGAGCATAAAATGTATTCTAGTAATTAGCCTACTTTGGCATTTATTGTAGATAACATCTAGAGACCTGATGTTTTCCAGTTCTAGTAATAGGAAAATCACACATTTATCAATTGGCTACCGGTTTTTATTTTACTCACAGCCTCTGCGCAGATGCTGCCATGTTCGGGCCCAGCACACTCGACCAGCATCCCAAGTTGGGAACCAACCATGGAATGGACAGGAGAGTCTGGCAGACAACGACCCAGAAATGTGGGATCTTGTACGAAAGGAGAAGGACAGGCAGTGTCGTGGACTGGAGATGATTGCTTCAGAGGTAGGTGCTGGGGATGGATAAATGGAGATATATATGATAATAACTGGCTTCATATGATCAGTCATATTTTCAATATCAATGCCAAAATTTCACAATTTCTGCCAGGGTATGCAAACGTTTGAACACACACACACACACAAACACACACTTTTTTTTTTTCTGTGTACCTTTTCTCTTTGTACCCAATTTGTCTTCACCAAATGGCTTATAATATTATGTAATTCAAATAGTGTAAGGTATTATGAACTAGTCATGAAGCAAGGCACTCAAGATAGCCTGCATTCTTCATTTAAACCCCAAGGTTTGCACAGAAATGGTAGCACTCTCCATCAGAAATGTCTTAGTTTGCTGAGGAGGACCTCTCTACCTCCTGACTGCTATGCTTTCCTCAAGCCAAGACCTACACCAGTCAAACTGCAGAGTGTATGTTGTAGAGCATGTAATACAATATGTGGGCTATAGAGTTGGGGGCTTTGTTTGCAATTAACCAGTACTGAGCAGAAATATCCACTAAATAATCCAGAAGTAGTTTTAGGCAGACTTGGACAGTTGGCCAGTGATTTTTGATTTAGATGCACATTCGATTTCTGTTCAAAGCTAAACTGCAGGCAAATACCTAAATAAAAAAGTTGAAATACATTTGTGATCTGGTTTACCTGCCAAAGTGTTTTTCTGTTCAGCCATTCCTGAAATTTACACAGCATTTCTAGTCAGCTGTCGCCTTCCTGCATTGGTCTGATTAGATAGTGAAGGAGAAGCAGCAGGCTCAGTTTCTCATCACTCTGATTTCCCCTCCTGTCACAGTGTGAGCAATTCCAACACAGCTGATTGGCTTCTAGTGCCGTTCCTCTCTCTCCCTGTCTGCTCTGCATGAAGGACTACAAAAAGCTTATACAAAGTCATATTTGGGTACTTGAACTGATTTCATTTTAAAAATTAATGATATTTAAAGTGATTATAAAAAAAGGATTATACTTACACTTTCAATGCAATGGTTCTGCACAGAGCAGCCCTGATCCTCTTCTTGTTGGGTTCCCTTGCAGGCGCTCCTGGCCACTCCCCCTTGTAGAGTGCCCCCATAGCAAGCCACTGGCTCTGGGGGCCTTGTGCACGCCCAATCCCGAGCCAGCTTTGTGGGCCCATTAACACACAAATTGCTGCTTGGCCCTTCTCTGCTCACTGCCTGTGATTGATAGCAGCAGGAGCCAATGGCTCCCACTTCTGCGCCTCTGTGCAGAGAGAAGAGAGAGAGCTGCTGCTCTTGTGCACATCGCTGGGTCGAAATTGGGCTCAGGTAAGTATAAGGGGAGGGGGGCAGGTAGCTGGTTACAGAAGGTTTTTTACCTTAAGGCTCCATGCATACTAAACATTTTAATAACTTTGGTAACGTTAGCTGTGTAAAGTCATGTTAAAAACATGAGTTTTCAGCTTTTTTTAGTGTTTTAGCGGCGTTTTTTTTCCACGTTTGTGGTTTTACCATTTTTTCTGTTTTTTTTTTTTTTGTAAAAAAAAAATCTAAAAACGCCTCCGATTTGCGGCGTTTTACCATGTTTTGCCACATTTTTCAGCGTTAGAGCGTTTTTACAGATAACTAACTCCTCTAGAAACCCACTAGTCCTGGGTTTTTTTTTTTCCAGCTGAAAAACGTCCCAGCCCAAAAAACGTTGATTACAGTGTATGTGCATGGATACATAGGATAACATGCTGGGTGGTTTACTGGCTGTAGAAAAAAACGTCAAAAGCCAAAAACAGCCGCTGTAAAAACATCAAGTGTGCAGAATAATGCATTAAAGTAAAATAACCACTTTTTAATACTATACAAAGCTGCATTACCTGGCATTTTTAGATCTGCCTGGAGTTTATCTTTAAGGACTATGTCCAATCTAGCTGCAAGTAATGTTTTAACAAGTGTAATCTGCAGTAAACTGCCATATTGCTTTTTCAAGTTTGATGAAAATTGTCATTTCTTTTCTCCTGAATAGAATTTTTGTAGCCGTGCAGCTCTGGAGGCCCTTGGATCTTGTCTAAACAACAAGTATTCTGAAGGCTATCCTGGAAAGAGGTACGTTTATTCATTGTGCCATTAGCCGATTGGGGTCAGATTTTCATCGGGGTCTTTATCTTTAGAATGTGAAATCGGGACACTAGAAGATCAATTTTTTCCCATTGTTTAGTGATTTAGTAAGAAACATTCTTGTTTTAGACTCTGTACATATAGTTCACTCTGGAAACACTTTGCTCCGTGATATGCCCTTTTACTCAATGTTTACACGTTGCGACCCACATCTGTCAATGCCCAATCTTGCATCCTGCTTGCCTTACTGCTTTCTAATATACAAAGTAATACAGTCAGTGGGGGATGAACAGTGGAAGCTTTAGGGCTACTGGCACCATATAATTTTTTTTTTTTTTTTTTTGCAGTGCAGACAGAATTTATGGTCTTAAAAAATTTTCTGTTTTCGATGTGTACTGACACACAAAAAAAAGTCCCGTAGTGAGCATTTTGGTGCCTTAACCTGCATTTTCAGTAGTAGTTTCTTTAAAAAAAAAAAAAAAAACATACAATGTGCATAAACCTTAATGCAACATGTCATAATGCATGGCTAGTAAAAAGCAATTCTTTGTTTGCCAAGGCTGTTTGTTGTCTATACCTTGTTTTTTGTTGACATATACTAACACCGTTTACTAGATAAATTCCAATGTGAATGTTACATAGTTTGGCTGAAAAAAGACAAACATCTATCTAGTTAAACCATACAGAGAAAAAAAAAGTTATAATCCTGTACCCACAATTGATCCAGAGGAAGGCAAAAAACCCAGCAAAGCATGGTCCAGTTTGCTCCTGCAGGGTTACAAATACCTTCCTGATCCCCTGAGAGGCAATCGGGTATTCCCTAGATCAACTTTACCTATCAATGTTAGTATCCAGTTATATTCTGCGTATCTAGGAAAGAATCCACTGAGCTGGCCAGAACCAACTCTTGAGGAAGTTTATTCCACATTTTCACAGCTTTTACTGTGAAGAAATCTTTTCGTATTTGTAGATTACATCTCTTTTCCTCCAGACGTGGAGGACAATGGTTACATTTATTCTTCTCAGAACCCCCCCCCCCTTTTTTTTTTTTTTATCCCAAGCTTTATTTTTCAGAAACCAACCTCATGATACACAACGTCAATATAATATGTAAAGGAATGCATAATTATATTGATATTTAGATGTAAAATGTGTTGATCTTTTTAAAACTCACTTTCTGAGTATAGTTTTTCAATTAATTCTATTAAGTTTTAACAGAAAATCCCAGCATTTGTTTAGTTGCAAAGATTTTGCAACCAATTTTCTAAGATGCAAGGAGTCAACTAACAAGATAATATATGTAAAAAACAGTGTCTTCTGGTTTACAGTATGGGGAAGTGGGGAGAAGGGTAGGTTGAAGGAAGGGAAAAAAGGGAGAGAAGGAACTAGGTAGAGGAACAGATTTAGTTAAGTGTTCTTGTATGGCAAGACCACTTACTGTTATCTCACATATATATTCTTATTATTATAGCCAAATTTACCACCCTAACTCCTCCCACAGTTTTTACACTACATAGTAATATACCGAAACGTGAGGATTGTTCCTGATTGTTGTGCTATTACTTTGGGGAACGTTTCGCCGAATGGTTCACGAAATATCGGCGTTTTGGTGGTGAAATTGGTCCCATAGGAATGAATGGCGGAACTGTTCAAAACTAGAGTGGGAGCTGACAAAAGCTAAAGTGTGAGCTGAAAAATCAGGACATGATTTCTAAACTGCCACCACTCCCTCATTTTCAAGCCCACCTACACAAATCTTATATAAAAACCTTCAGCTATCCCTGCTGCCACTAAAAATGTCCACGGCTAAGCCACAGTCCTGATAGTTTTCACAATATGACCATTTGTTTGCAACTCACGCCGCCCATTGACAGTCATTGAACTCCACTCTTGCCACCTCAAATTTAAAGGGCAATATCTAAACTGCGACTGTGCCTTCATTTTTAATATTTCAGAGACCTACTATGCATCAAAATGTAGGTCTGGGTCTTGTGATTCTCACAATATAAAGCTCTTCGGTGTAGGATTTATAATTTTTTAAACTACAACCGTTTGAAGATGGTCAACCGCCAGTGAAGTGAGCAAGTTGGAGCATTTGTTTTTAACCACTCTTCTCTGCCCTTGCTGTAGAGTGAGTTGATATAGGAACCCAGTGTGAGCAGGCAGCAGTGTGACAAGCCACTCCACCCAGTTACTCCGCCCACTCCAGTTGTAGACTACTGGTGGAGGCAAGAACACTTCACACAATTTCCCCAGAAATTGTAGCTTTTCTAGTTTTTAGTTTTGATGTTGTTAAGCTTTCTATTTCTAGACCAGAAAAAATTCAAAGTGTGCACGCGAAGAAAGAAAGAAATGGGAGAATTTATGAAGGCATAGAGCTTGGACGTACAGTTGTAAATATAGTAGTGAAAAAGGAACAGTAAGGAGGGAAAAGATTACTGGGTGGATGTGGAAGAAAATGAGTGGTTAGAGGAAAGCATGGCTCAGGGGACACTACCTCAGTGATGGGTTCCTCCATAGAGCTGTTGCACTCTCCATGGAAAATGTCGATAATTAAAGTGGTAATAAACATTTTTTTTTTTTTTTCCCTACAGGTAAGCTTTATAATAAAACATACCTGTAGGTAAAATGAATATCTCCTAAATGTGCACCATTTAGGAGATATTCTGTGGAGCAACAACCGGTGACGTCACCAGCACATGAGCGCTGAAGGAACGACATACCTGTGTCATTCCTTCATAGCTGTGTACCATGGCTAAAACTTTGGCACACATATGCGGGGGAGTGACGTCATCGTGGCCATTCAAGTGGCCACAACTCATGAAGATGGAAGCCTCTGCAGAGGTGACTGTACGCCACTGGAGGGCTTTGTTTTAGGGCAAGCTGTGTATTTTTTTTTTTTTTTTTTTTTTTTTTTTTTTTCTCCTAAGAGTTTTCTAAGCCAAGAGTCCAATATCTTGAGAAATTTATCATATGTATTTGTGAGAATACTAGTCAGCTTTACATGAATAAAAAGGCATCAATTCAATTTGCAACTTTGGAGCACTCTCTTTCAGTGTTTAATAAATTCGAGTCTCGCTTCATCGTTTATTAAGAACGATGTCTGACACATGTTGGAGAGCCAGGGGAATGTTTCTGCACATGTGGTAGGAATGTGACAGGCTTTCCCTCCTTTTGGCGCAAAGTTTTCACAATATATAACAAAATCTATATTGAGTCCTTGGTTCCGGTGCCAGACGTAGCTTTTCCAGTGCCAGGATCATATTAATCTCAAAAATCAAATTTGCTGAGATTTTCTTTCTGCTGCCCATCAGTTGGTCTCATCCATCCTTCTGTAAGTCCTCTTCCACTCTTACATTGCGCAATGGGTCAACATCATCAATGATATTATGCAGATGGAGGAGCTTTCGTCATGGAGTCTAACTTATTGGAAACATTTAAGACCCTTTGGTTGGCCTGGGACCATTATTCCTCCTCAGAATCCCTGAAAATGCTAGTCTCTTTAGACTCCTAGCCATTTTAGCTTTTGGACGAGATGAGCTCCTGCAATTGCTTGAGGGAATAACAACTGTCTTTGATTACCCTGTTTCTTAGGATTTGTAACCACTGGAACACCCTGCTACCTGGAGCCTGTTTGTTATTCCCTGATCTTCCCATTTTTCCCTCCTTTCCCCCGCCCTTTTTTTTTTATTTTTTAAACGTCCTGCTTTTCTTCGTTGAAATATTCAACCTCAATTTCCTACTTTGGAAAATATATAAATTTTTTTTTTTCATGTCTGAGCTGTTGTCAGTTTAGAGCCCAATAATATAAAATGGGTCAATTTTAGATATATTTTTTTGAGTGTAGTTTTAGCAAAAGTGTGCTAGAATGAGCAAAGTTGGCTATATTTATGAATAATGTGAAAGAAGTGTTAAGCAGGTGGTATGATGGAGGTACAATGTCAAGCACATATCTGCAGGAAAGGAGTAGCAGAGGGGTATGATGGGAGGAATTATGGGCAGGAGAGGAGTGTTGGAGGGTAGGATATGGGGCAGCATAGGAGTGTGAATGGTGTTATAATACACAGTATGTGCAGAATTTAAGCATCAGCCAGCAAAAAAATAAATAAAAATATATGTTTCATTGGGGTGCAACCTATATGCTAGAGATGGTTTGCACCTAAATGGAAGGGGGGTCTGCTGTGCTGGGGGAGAGGTTTATGGGAAGGCTGGAAGAGTATTTAAACTAGGATTGAGGGGCAGTGAGAATTAGATTATATTGGGGCAGACAGATCAGATAGGGGTGAGTCCTTATTGGTGGGTGGAATGGGGAAAGATGGAGGGAGGGCTATGGCAGGTGATAAGAATTGGTACCATTTTTGGAATTGGTACCATTTGTACGAAAATAAAAAATATGCAAAATACATGTGCACAAGGTGTCAATGAAAAAGTGTTCACCAATGCCAGAAGTCTGCCAAGCAAAATAGGTGAGTTGGAAGCTTTGGTGCATGAAGAGAACTATGATTTAATTGCTGTTGCTGAATCTTGGCTTCATTATTCACATAGCTGGGCTATTAATATTTTTGGCTCTCTGTCTGTATGTGAGAAGTGATCTCAGAGTGAGTGTGAAAGAGGACCTAGTTGATGGAAAGTGTGATGAGGCTCAAGCATTATGGAGGGACTTGCACATGGGGGTGCGTACAGCAAAGATAAATGTCGGAGTTTTATAGGCCACCCAGTGTTAGGAGGTGGAGACTCCGCTCCTTGCACAGATCGAAAAGGGCTGCTAGGGCTGGGACAGTGATAAAAATGGGGGATTGTAACTACCCAGAAACTGACTGGAGAAATGGTATTGCAGGAACAGTCAAAGGGAAAAATTTATAAACCTACTACAGGACAATTTTATGGTACAGTTCATAGAGGCCCCAACCAGGAATGATGCTCTGCTGGACCTGGTAATCTCAAACCATGCAGAGCCTATTGCTAATGTTCATATAAAAGAACACCTT